ATCTGTTTTTAGCAGACCGCACGCGATTCTCTCAACCCTTAATATGAAAACGTCGATCACTATTATTTATAACACGACAAACGTCTCAATCGAGGAGTTTAACTCGGAGAACTATTTTTAGAAGAAGCAAGTGGACGGTTATTGGAAAAAGATGATACTCGGCTGATGATTAAAAGTTTTAAGTCCCGCATCCTTTATGGCAGACAGTATCGACATGACCATTTTGCCATTATAAATAATAAGATGTAAGGACGTGAAATGCAACGGAAGAGACGAAAATGACTTGGAAAGAATCGTTCCGTCGAAACGAAGCCGATAGGCGAAAATAATCGCCTGATTGATACAATCTAAAATTCTCACACGTTTTTGCTGGAGCGAATCTGTCAATGATGGTTCTCTTGAAGTTAGAACTCATTTCTTTTTTTGCGCGTTTGGTTTTCCACTCGACCCGCAGCATCATCGATAGTTCTATCGGCGGTACGGGCAGACACGGCACGCGCGTGCATATATGGCAAGACACCCCCGCGAAAGAAGCGCACGTACATGCGTACGCCCTCACGCACGCACGAGCACACTCATGAACACTCGCATGAGCGCACGTATTCACGCACGTTCGCGATGTGTCGAGCCCCGTGTCTATATCGTACTTGCTATTCGTATCGCGGTTTCAGTCTCTGTTGCTCTTATCCCATACGGGCGTACGTGCGGCATTACGATCTCCTGCCTCGTTTCTCGCTCCTAAAACAGGCCCGGCAAGGGGGGGGACGACTGGGAATCGCATTCGTCCTCTTTTACTCGTCGCCGAAGGAACCGTCCGTCTGTCCGAGCTTGTTTTTCTCTTTTTTCCTTTTTTTCCTTTTATTTTTCTCCTTACGAGCGACTTGAAAATTCATCTCCATCCGTGCAGCGGGTGATTACGAAAGCTTAATTGCTGGGAAACGCCCGGGACTGTCCGACATTGTCGTCCTTTCCGACTTCCGGGATGGACGCCAGCGAAGGCGGCGGGCTCCTTCAGCTCGCTCGAGCGATTGTTGCAGTCCGGCAATCGGGACTTCGTTAAGCTCGGGAATTAATTTTAAAGCACCGAGAAGGTCGCACCGTGAAAATTTGTGTAATTCTTTCATTAATTCCCCTGTCCGCGCGCGTGCGCATCGGTCCGCGTAATATCTCGTCCGTCAGTCCTGCGAGATACGCGTTCTTTACTTTTTTCTTTCTTTGTTATGCACTTTTTACTTCCGGCACGGTGAGTTCCCGGTACTGTTACGAGGACCACCGAGATCTCGCTAATTAGGATAACCTCTTTTCCGCACGTTATATTAACCTTCACGTTACCCAGAGCGGCGTGGGGTGGTGCGTGGGTGTATGGTGTACGTGGGCGCGCCACGTGCACCCTGATGCGACGTGTTTCCGCGCGGCGTCCGTTGCAGGGTTAAATATTCTCCTGTAAGTTGTTAACATCGCGTACACACGCGAAATGGGGCGGCACACGCGGAAGCGTTAACAGCTGAGCGATCCTGTTCTCCGGGCGAGAATTCGCGTCGGTCTCGCTGACCGTATTTCTCGGCAAACATAGCTGTCTAGCCAGAAACGCTTTATTACCGACCCGTATTCACCGGGGGGATTTAACTTCTGCGGGCATTAACGCGGGGCGTCCGAAGTTTCGTCGGGACGAGTTTATATTCTTCGCGGCGGCTCTCCCCCGCATTCGTCCGTTCGTTCGTGGATCGTTTCTAAGCGAACCCCGTAATTGCTGAGCGCCGGAGTCTGTTGTGCAGGTGGTCCTAGCAATTTAAATAGCACGTGACAGAAGACACTCTCGCGCGTTAGAAATCGGTACCTCTCTCGTCTTGACTTCATCGAAGCACCGTACGTACACCTACTCGTCATTCGAGCGTCCGCGCCAGCTGCATCTCGAGACACCGGATCGTTTTTCGACGCATCGTTCTCGGAAACGTTGGAATATCTCATCGGAGATGTATAATGACACGATTAAACAAGTGGCTCATATTATTCGATAAATATTGCAAATTGATTCGGCAATTATACTAAGGCTCGTTATATTTCCCAATTGCGTGAAACGTTATCAGGGCTGATGAGAGCTCCGGTGCAGGTTGATCGTTGCAAGCAAATAATTCACTAATCGCTGGCGGATAAAATTGTTCGACAGTGGTGCAGCGTACGTGTCGAGGAATTTTCGGGCTTTCGACGTACGTAAAGCAGCAATTCGTGGCCGTTCATCATGTCGAATCGACCTTGTAATCCAATTTATCTTTCATATAATTTTCTCCCGTTTCCCTTAAAATTAATCTCAAACGTATAAAATTATAATTCGACATATTATAATACATTTTTTTCTCTGCGCTCTCTCGGCGTTTCTCCAATCGGACGGCAATTCGTCGCGCGCTTCATCGAAATTCGCGAGAAATTCCCGAAAAATGGCAATTTCGCAACGAACACGCGCTTCCTCTCGCAATCGAGTTATCCCCTCTCTTCCCCTCCTCTCCCGCGTATTGACGGACAACACTGGAGTGTTCGGAACACTTTTATTTATATTATCTATTTAGAGGCAGTGCAGTGTCGGGTAATGCATTCATTTGACATTCGGATATTCCGCGGATTCGAGTGCGTCGCGTTTGCGCGACGAATTTTATCACGTTCTCGCAAATTACACATGTTTTTGCCTGGTCGTAATGCATACGTTCGCACGCCGTCGCTCGGCCAACGGCGGGCGAATATTCGTCTGATGCGGTAAGTCGTCGTGCGCGCGCCGCGCTCCGAAAATTCATACGTTAAACAAGCTGGCTACGTAATCTCTCTAATATTCCCCGTATGAAACGCCGTTTAATTTGAAGTCCCGATTTGTCGCCGGTGTTGTGCGCATTTGCCGGATTCCGGTAGCGTTTCATTTATTATCACAGCAAGATGTCGGACGGTGGCTCAGCGTCAAAGGACCGTCTCATTTTACGTTCGAGCTTTAATGAGTTCACGTACGGCGAGCGTAAATGCGAATGTTTCGTGCTCGCTGCGCGCTTGTGTGTGCGTTACGTATGTGTATACTCGCTTCGGCGGCGAACGGAGGACACTTACGGACGATAAGATGGCAGAAGACGCGATAATGCGCGCGTATCGTCGCTATCGTGCGCGCATCCGCCCGGCTACGGAATTACTCCGTACAAGCGGATGTTTCCCGGGAGATCAGTTCCGTAAAGAAACTAATTCGGGATACTCTCCGCTCGTCCGGGGCCCACCGGGCGGGAGTTCGCCTTTTTTCCCGGCGTTGGCCGCCGACCCGGAGCGCATTTCCGGCCCATGCGCCCGCCGTTCTCACGAACTTTCCCAAACGAATTTAAAACGCGGGCGATTCCGGAAGTTTTTATTTGATTCGCGGATTCAGCAACGGCTGCCGGATTAATCCGCTGCGCGAGACGAGAAACAGCGGGGCCGTTACGAACGAACGCGAATCGCCGCGTCTCTGAAAAATGACCTTACGATCGTAACCACTTGTTGCAAAGAAGTATAAACGTAACAATGCGTAAATAGAATCAAGTTGAAATAAAAAAAGAAGGACTCGGGTATTTTTAGCGATTAACGTGTTATAAGAACTAAACATCCGACATATCGTTACTGCGACATCGTTGTTTCTATGAGGTAATCATATTTATTGCGTAAAATCACTCGCGCTTGGAATTTCGCTAATTAGACTGGGCGTTCCTCGAGAAGCTCCTTGTCTCTTATTTACTTACAACAATTCCGCAAGCGCCTTATATGCCTTCAATTAGAACGCGCATAAATCATAATATCCGTTAGGTATTTTAGCCTATTTCCCGACTCATTACGAGCGGTAACGGTTTCGTGAGAAAGCCCGATTAACTTCAAACTCAACTCGTGTTCGGCCTTTCGCTCGTTTCGCCGTAACTATCGACAGTGCCGTGGAAACGGACTTCTCCTTTTGCGCCAGTCTACCAGTTACTTACTGGAACTTCAGCGCAACTACTATATAGCCCTATATATATATCGCATAGTTCACAATCGAAATTTGATCATCGAAAGCTTTTGCCACGTTTCAGCGAGTTCCACTCGAGCCCCCGTCGGCGGACTCAATTCGATCGCGTAACGGCCGATTTCGCCGTCGCGAGTTCGAAATGATTTTTAGATAATTTCGTCGCAAGTATCGCGCGAGCGCAAACTTCCCTTTATAATCCCGCAAACTTCTTCGAAAAGGGAGCAGCGCGCCATGGCCTCTCCCCCTCCCCCCACTTGCTCCCGCAGCGTCGACCCAAATGAGCTAGCTAAATAGACATTGAACTTTATTAATTAGCCGTTAATGAGGAAAATGGACGGACGGAATCCGTCATTGTAATGCCATTCGTTAGGCGATTAACCGTGGATTACACCGTATATGCGCGCGCGCTTATGCAAGTTTAATTATATTCTGTCATGACTCGCGGACGATGTGGGTCACATCATTGTAATCATTCTATTCCGCCGACGCGTTTCGTTGCGCTAACCGTTTATTTATCCGTCGCGTCAGCTCGCATCGAAACGTTAACAACACACATTCGCTTATTTGTCGAAATTGCGTAATCGTTCTTTACGCGCCAAGAGATCGGTTATTAAACGATCCGCTTCCTCTTTCTCTCCCTCCCTCCCTCTATCTCCCTCACCTTCTTTCTCTCCTCAGACCGAAAGAAAGGACAGGCGCGAGGAAGAGGAAGGAAGTTTACAAACATTCGCGGCCGACGCGCGTTCGCCCACGCCCATGGCGAAACATTGTAATGCAAATCCGCGGTGCACGTCAAGAAGCAGAGGAAAAACGAACTCTCCCCGCCCTGGTACCGCCGTATTCCACCTCGCCGTCGCCCCGCACGGTGACAATTAATATGACAACGCGCCGCCGCTGGCTCGTCCGCCGCAAGAATTCCCACCGCGTCCTTCCGACTCCGTGACACGAATACACATCGGCTATAACCTGTGGTTTTCCTTCTCTTTGTGTGTTCCAGGATAAGACAAGCGAGCGCCCGCCGCCGCTACCTACCATCGTCCGCCCGTCTCACGCCGTTCCGTTGACGACGTCGACGACCACGAGCGAGATTCGCGAGACGTCCAGTGTGTCGTCATCCGCGCGCGGCAACCAGCCGATCGGTGACGCGAACGACGCGTCGCATCCATCCGTCGCTCGCCATCTCCGATGTGAGACTCGCGAGTCCCGGCAAGTTCGAGCAGTCGTCTTTCGCGAAATCTCCTTCCGGCACGAGGCAACGTAAGTGCGCGTGTCTCGTCGCAGTGCCGAAGTCCGGAACAGCAAGAACCGCAGGGACTCGTCGTGCGCTCGCCCGCGACATGATCCTCAGAGTGACATTGTTGGTGTGCGCGCTGCTGTTGGCCGACGCGAGATCCGAGCCGAGACCGCGATCGCGACCAGTGCCCATCTACTCGAATCAGTTTGCCGTTTACGTGCCTAGCGGGCAAGAGGCTGCGGACGAAATCGCCCAGGAGCACGGCTTCGACAATCATGGACAGGTGAGTGCTGAAACCAGTCTTCTCGATACGGAGGGCAGAGCGCGACTCTCTAGAGGGAATTCTACCCTCGATGTCAGTTAGGAATTGAAATCGATCGCGTTCAAGCTTCAATAACGTCGTAGCTACGGTAACGTTTTTTTTATGAAATCTCGACAGAGGGTGGGAATGCGAGTGGAGAGATCTGACGGGGAAACCGAAGGAGAGAATAATATCTCGTTTATTGCAGAGGAGAAAATCCAAAAACAATAGCTGCGTTCAGCCAACGTTTGGTAAACGCTTGATAATCAAGATTATAAATGCTTGAATAAATTGTATTTTTGAGTCCTCGATGGACAATGTACCGTTAAGATCAAGAGTCGTTAAGTTCCGACTTCGTTTCAAGAATTTGTTATGAAATCGTCCAAAGAGAATCCGTCGAGCATCGTCGAATTGCTCTAGAGAAAATGTGTCCCCCTCAAACCAATCGCGACAGACGGCGGGATTTCCTCTCGGAGGTTACCGGCGCCGTCTTCAGTCGCGCGTTTCTCGAGTGTCCTTGCACTTCGCGAGATTGCCGCGAGGCCAGCTTGTGGCGGTGCGCGTGCTCATCCTGCGCGTCGAATCGCGTATTGACGTTTATTCGCCCCGGCGTCGATGATGAGATTAGATGCTCCGTTACGGGCGACACTACCGTCGGTGGTGTCGCGAACGGGGCGCGGGGTGTCGATCATGTCGAACGGATTGAGGCGAGGAGACAACCGGGAAAGCCGATCTAACGAGACAGATTGGATGGAGACGTTGCCGGAGGCGGTCCTCCGACAGCGTGGAGACTATCGCTCGTACTAGAAACGGCTATTTAACGTGGCGTCTTTATTGCCGAGCTTGAGTGCGAAAAAGCTGGCGTCCGTAAGCCGTGCAACCGTAAATCTTCCGTCGCCGTTCTTTCGACGGATCAATTTTGTATCGGGGATTCGCGAATCGAGCTTTAATCGAGAAGCGGAGCTTCGCGGCGCGATGTGGCGCAACCGCCTTCGCGTGTCCACGGCCAGCCGCGTTGATCGACCTGACGAATGCGACTCTGATTACTTTGCAACAAAGGGAGAGACGAAGAGAGAAAGAGAGGGAGGGATCGCTAACGCGTTTCGCTATCGCTCCAGTTTCGTTTTTGCGCAACACGCCGTTGTCTGCCGGGAATACGGGAAGCGTGCTCGGTTTACCGCTGATAAGACGGCCGATAAGTGTCGGGTGTATCGTGTACATCCGAGGCCGTTCATCGCGGTCAGGCAACTCGGACGCGACAGAAACATCGCATGCTAAATACTCGCTCGTACAGCTCGATCGCACGCTAAGCACTCGTTCATATTAGTCGACGTATCGCTACGAACACGGCGACCGACATGTACGGGGTGACCAGAAATTCGCGTCTCTCTGCTCGGCGTTATGCGGTTCTTCGGGCGAAAAGAGAAAAATGGGAGTTGCGACCGAGTCGCTCGATAAAGATCATTCGATCGATCATTCCTTCGCGTTTTCTCAACATTCGATGTCCGATGTCTTGTTGATGGAGATTGTCAAGTCGATGTTAAAATCGATCGAAATTAAGAAGCACTCTCGAATTCCCGCGTCATCCTGTATCTGCCGTGCGCGATCGTGCGTTTGACGCGACATTTCGGATACGTCGTATTTGAAATGCAAAAACACCGACGTTGTTTACGAGCTTCGAAACATCATGCAAACGACGTAATTGTATGTTTCGCCGGAATATAAACTCGTCGCGATATAAAATATTTCCCGTGCTAAAAAACGCGCTCCGACCACGCGGTTTCCCTCTCGAACGGATCTCCGTCAAAGTTCTCGGGATTTGATGTGGTTCGCACTTGCAGTGTGTAGACTGCCGATTGTGATTTTATTTACTCGATGCAATCGCGTGACTATACCTGAGTCGAAATTTTAACTCTATATTAATCTTTCAAATTCTGTCGGATTAGCAGAACCAATGGAAAATCTCAAAATATCACGCTATAGACTGCTCTACTTTCATGTTACAAACAATTATTTAATATCATTTTTTCCATGTTGAATTGTTCTTAATAAGAAGTAATAAAAAGTTAAATGTTCTTAATAAAAGTAATAAAAAGAGGACCAGAATTATGTAATATTTTATGTATACATGTACATGTATATATGTACATATATTATTCTAATGTTCTGCATTAAATTTTCTTTCATAATTTCAATATTTCTATCCTAATATATCTGCATTAAATCTTCATTCATAATTTTAATAAGCAGCGCATTATTTATATAAATTACTTAATTGCAGGTAAAATATAGGTAGAGGTGTACGGTAAGCATATATTAAATAATGTAGTATCAGTATTAAATTGTGTTAAATTATATTTAATAATATTAAATAACTTATACAGCAAAGATTAATGGGCAAAGATAATACATAAGTAGAGCAATAAATCCTGTCTCTTCACTATTCCTGTATTATTTCTTTTTTTTTCTATTAGCGTTGGTAATATGTATGGAATGTATATTTAGACATCTCTAAAAAATATATGATATATCGCTGTCTTCTACAATATCCCGCATTCTTCGTTCTGGCTTTCCGAGTTAACATCCTGCTCCTGACTGTCCGTGGCATTCCGTATCCTGGTTCATGACACTCGCGTAAATATGATCCGACCGTGGAAACACGAAATGTTAATGGGAATCCGATTAAATATTTCACGAAGCGCCGAAATATTTTGTATAAACGTAATGTAACACTCAGTCGTGAGAGAACCAAAATAATTGGCAAGAAGCGCGAACCAATCCCCCGCATCAACCGTCAACTGATCTTCAAGGCAGTCAAATGTACTTTCGTGCGTCGCGTACTTTCCCGAATGTTTATTACGTTCCGAGCCAGCGAGCGATACGCGTACTATCGACTACTTGTATCGATACGCCATTTATCGTTCCCGTTGAGTGATTAAAATATTTCGTTGGTTCTTTTGAAACAATTGATCAAAACTCTCACCGACATCGCGTTATTTCACACGTATTTTCGATCGAATCGTATTTACGTGAGTGTCAGTGTCAGTGTCACAACGAAGCAGGTAGAATGTTGGACCGAGAAGCCAGGACGTGGGACGTAGGACGCCGATACGCGGGTAGCATTACATCATATACTTCCAGGTACATGAGATCATTTATTATTCAGGAGGTTTTCGATTTTAACGGACCTTTGACAAACTCATTGAGACATCCGAAGTGAAATTTAGGCTGGTATTCATAGTCTGTTATCCTTTGACGAATAATTATAGTTATAGTTCTATGAATTTCCGATTACATATTCATCAAGATGTACTTATATTTATTACATCATTTTATACAACAAGAAACATTGATCCAAACAGCCGAATAATGGTACATGAGTACAAATTAGTAATTAATTATGTTCTCAATCAACGATTTAATGATTTACAACTATGAATATTGGCTTGTGAATTCTGGAATAAATCCCTTTTTCAGTTTTAACATGGAAAGACAGCAGTAACTATTTGTAGCTTCAAAACAGGACGCGGTATAATCTGGGTATAATATTTTATTTCGAGATTCATTATCAGTCTTCCAAATTCGACGTAATTTGTAAGATTAATGTAGAACTAAAATTTCGGGTATATACGAGCTGTAAATAACGTAACGCGGATAAACGATTTTTATCAGTAAACATACAAATTGCGGTTATTTCGGCGTTGATTATGTGCCTTTTTTCACGAAAGCAACCTCGCGTAATGTATGTGTGTAGTTTGAAAATTACCGCTTCCATAACATTCATGCCACTTATGTATGTATCATTCCTATATTTTTGGTGCTCTTTTGGAGGATCAGCCTCGATGTAAATTTAAGGAAATTTGCATAACGTAATTAAGTCAGTGCCGTTTAATCGTGAGCGTACGGGGGAGTAATTTTCACCCGTTATTCATTCCCCGGCATATTCACGCGCTTTCGCGTTTTCCTCGTTACGAGTAATAAACTTTTTACATCCGTCCATGCGCCGAAAGGGCCGGGAGAAGATTACGTTTTGGTTCTTCCCACGCCGCTTTAACACTTCGCCACGAGAATCCTCGCTCGGCACGGGGCCGGCGATGAGCTTCTAAAATTTGATTCTACCCAACGAACACGAGTAATCGAACCGAATCGAATGTCGGTGTGTGTAAAACTGGACGAGTTTCGTCCTGTTACGGTTATACGCGATCCCGTCACCGATATTTCCCGATCGCGACCAGATGAACGATCCAGAGAGATAGAGAACGCAGTCTAGTCTCTCTCTCTCTCTCTCTCTCTCTCGCTCACAAAACGCAGAGTTCTTCCCTGCATTCTTACGTCGAACGCATTATCTCCTAGACGTGAAACTTTACGGCGAGATGAATTGCAGCGCGGAAGTTACAGGGGTAGAAGCTAGTGAGCGCGGAAAATGTGAAAAGAAGAAACGCCGACTGGAATGGCAACGTACCGCTTCATTGTAACTTATCACGTCTTCGTGAGCAGTAAAGCATTATAAGCACCAGGCATAATACAAGCTGTTTTTACCGAGAGACCATTGTACGCGAGTGTTAAGATGAACTATCTGAAATTTTACGTAAAAAGCTCTCGTTTTCTCTCTCTCTCTCTCTTTCGCGTATCAAAGAGATGTCGCGAGGATCTGCACGAATTGAGCATCCGATAAAAGATGTTATTTCGGGTGATTCATCGTTCACGCATAAATTTGCACGTCGACGAGAAATTTATCTTTGACATTTAATCTCATTATAATGTTTAAATTATGCATTAGTCTCTCTCTCTCTCTCTCTCTCTCTCATTCACTCACTCACTCACTCACTCTCTTTCTCTCCTTTTCGTCACGAGCCGGGATATACGCGATCAAACTTTTCGCAACGGCGAAAACCATCGACTTCGCGAGATGTTTCCGAAACACTTCCGCCTTTCCTCCGTTTCGTTTCTGAATCGCTTCCCATCCAACCCGGGCAAAACTA